AGCCTCTCTGTCCTCACTGGGGTCCTTGCTGATCAATGAAATAATTTTCTGTAAGAACCAGTGTTTGACTTGAAATCCAGTTGTCCATGAGGCCCTAAACCTCCCTGTTCCCTTGAAGTACATTACCTTGTGGGGTGCCAGGTCCTGTAAGCTATGTGTGTGTAGAGAGGCGGGACTGTAAAAATGCTGTTTTTATTTAGGAAACCACCCGTATTTAGTCAACAAATATTTATTGAGCACCTGTGCTTGTCGCTTGGGACATTTTGGTGACTGAGATGATTGAAGCCTTTCCCCTCAAAGCATCCACAAACAAAAGGAAAAGACAAACAAGTTAACAGTATAATTCTGAATAATGATAACCGCTACGAATAATAAAAAGATGGAGTGATGAAGGGCTAAGTTACAGAAGGTAGTCAGGGAAGGCTTCTCTGAGGAGGTGAGTTTTCAGTAGAGTCATGAGTGACGGGTCCTGTGAGGAACTGGAGGGAGAGTCTTCCTAGAGGACAATATAGCAAATGCAAAGACCCTGAGGCAGAATGAGGCCCCCTCTTCCAGGACCAGCGCAAAGGGCAGTGTGGCCGGGAGGCAAGAGAAAATAATGAAGATGTGACAGGCGAAGTAGGTATGGGCCGGACTCTAGGGGGCCTTGTCCACCACACTAAGGATTGTAACTTTTCCATAGTTCTCACCCACGTTAACTGTTTGGAGATTTTTTTTAAGTGGTGACAGGTACATAGGTGACCAACGTATAGAGCTCCTTTGGTGAATCTTCACCCTCATTACGTTTTTGGGACAGCCGCACGGGGATATGGTGCAGGACACCCCTTATTCCTTTGGCCCAGGCAGCTCTGCGGAGCCTGGGGTCCATGCCCATGTGTGGAGGTCCCATCTCCTTCATGGCAAATTTCTGGATCCCTCTGAGTGCCCGAGGGCACGCTTCTTGAAACCCACTCCATGGATGCGCTTGTGAATGTCGATGGTGTGTTCTCGGGCCAGCGCCTCATTGATGGCTCTTTTCTTGTGTGTGCTGGGCGTCACGGGTGGGCTTAGGACAGGGCGGAGAGGTGATCCGACGCAGACGATGGAGAGATCACGCGGGCTGCTTGTGTCATGGCAGTGAGGTGCTGGCTGTTCCCAGCAGAATGTCTCTCAGCAGTTAAGGGGATGGTTGGTCCTGGGGAGCGGGGGAGGGGAATATCAGCAGACAAGAAAGAGCACAGGCTTTGGGCCTATGTCCCAGGCCCAGAAGAGAAGGGGGCACTGTCAGCAGCTTGTGGACCTTAGGCCAGGGTGAAATCACCCACCCTGTGGACAGCACACTTGTCCTCAGGGGTCACAGCAGCAAGACTGGTGCACCTCGCAGGACACAGACCTTCAAGGCTGGGGCAGTTTCTGATCACTTAAGAAGTTTCCCTGCCCGGCCGGCTTGCCTCAGCGACTGGGCGTTGACCTAGGATCCAGGCGATCAGGGTTCGATTCCCGGTCAGGGCACATGCCCGGGTTGCGGGCTCAATCTCCAGTCGGGGGCGTGCAGGAGGCAGCCGATCAATGACTCTCTCATCAGTGATGTTTCTATCTCTCTCTCTCCCTCTCCCTTCCTCTCTCTGAAATCAATAAAGATATATTTAAAAAAAGAAAAAAAGAAGTTTCCCTAACCTGGGTTAGAGGAAGGAAGCACTAGCACTGGGCCTCCCAGGAAGCTCCCACTGCGAGTCTGTTAACCCATAGAAGACAGCTAGTGCCTCTTCCTGCAGTGACCATCCCCCACTGCCCACCACTGGAGATGAGAACCTTAGCGTTTGTCTCTGATGCTTGCTGGGACTGAGGCTAACCTGTGGCTACTGGCAGAGTCGGATGGATTGGCAATTCTCAAACATGAGGCAAACAGACTCAGACTCACCTAGGGATCTGAGGAAAGTCAGAGATTCTCAGCACCCACACCAGTCCTACTGAATACATTTTTAGGGTGGGCTCTGGACATGTGCACTTTTAAAAGCTTCCCATAGCTACCAGTTTATAGGAAACACAAGGAACAGAGGAACATGTGAAATGACACCATGGGATGCAATTGGCAAAAGGTGTGATTTTTTTCACAAATAAATTGCAAGGAAGAACTTTCTGCCAAGATGGCAGAGTAGGTAACTGCTGTGCTCACCTCCTCCTAGTACTACATCAAAATTACAACTGAACTACAGAACCATTCCCCTGAGAACAGCCTGAAGACTAAACAGAAGTCCTGTATAATTAAGGATATTCAGAAGCCACATTGATGCTGGTAGAAGGGTTGGAGATGCAGAAAGGGCAGATCCCACATTTATAGTGTAGCAGTTAAGAAATGAGGTGAAACCCCCCAAACGATGGTGGGGGGGATAGCCAGGCTGCAGAGGTCCCCTCTCCAGGAATGAGGGGTCCCAGTGCCAGGAAGAAAAATCCTCATAACTTCTGACTGTGAAAACTGGCAGGGATTGTGGCTGAGTGGAAGAGAGGGCTGCTCGACGGAATCCCAGCTTCCCTTTAGGGGCCGGTGCACGGATTTACTGACAGACTCACTTTCTCTGAGCTCCAGTGTTGGGGCAGCAGCCTGAAAAGCACCAGGGACAGAAGGGGAGGAGCTGCATTGTCTGGCTTCAGAATGAGGGCTGAAGGGGGAGCTTTCTCCCAGACAGAAGTACAGCCAGAAGCCAGTTTTTTTTCGTTGACCCTCTCTCCACCCAGCTTGCATACCTATCAATAATTCCTTTAAATGTAAATGGTTTAAATACTCCAATGAAAGACTAGTTTCCATTGACACACAAATGGATAAAAGAAAACATGGTACATGTATACAATGGAATATTACTCAGCTATAAAAAAGAACGAAATCTTGCCATTTGTGACATGATGGACCTAGAAGGTATTATGCTATGTGACATAAGTCAGAAAAAGACAAGTACCATATAATTTCACTTATATGAGGAATCTAAAAAACAAAATAAACAAACAAAACAAATCAATTCATAGATACAGAGAGCATTTTGATGTTTGCCAGATGGGAGTGGGGTTGGGTCAAAAAGAGGAAAGGATTAAGATGTACAAATTTCCAGTTATAAAAACAGTCACGGGTATGTAAAGTACAGCATAAGGAATATAGTCAATAACTATGTATGGTGTCAGATGGGTACTAGACTTATTGGGGTGATCACTGTGTAAGTTATGTAAATGTCTAATCACTATGTTGTATAACTGCAACTAATATAATATTGTATGTCAACTGTAATTTAAAAAATTTATTTAAAAAAATAAATCAAAATACTTTTAAGTAAAAAAAAAGAATTTTCAAACCCCCGATTTTAAAACATAATCTCCACCTACTCTCCATTGCTTATGCAGTGGTACTTCTTATTGCCAGGTCAGTGGAAAATGATGGACTCTTTCATCTAACCAAGGGGACTCGGGCAAAGTCAGCTGAGAGTCTGTTGTAAGTGATCATTGCTAGAAGAAAATAATCTACTCTGAGAATCCAGCGCCATCATGCACTACCCATTCATTCCTTCTTTCTGGTAAATGCTGACTTCATGCAGGCAGGCACCATATATGACTCATTTTCCCACATCCCTAGGGCTTGGAACTATAGAGGTTGAAAGGCATCGAATGAACGGGATCTATGACATGGTCCCAAATCAGTAACCTCTTGGTGGTGATCAAAATTGTAACTGAGCCCGGCCAGGCGTGGCTCAGCAGTTGAGTGTCGACCTAGGATCGAAGTGATCAGGGTTCGATTCCCGGTCAGGGCACATGCCCGGGTTGTGGGCTCGATCAATGACTCTCTCTCATCATTGATGTTTCTATCTCTCTCTCTCCCTCTCCTTTCCTCTCTCTGAAATCAATAAAAATATATTAAAAAAAAAAAAATTGTAACTGAGAAGTATGTTTGTTAAACGTGCAAGGCCCTTACTGAGGCTAAAAGACGTCATGAGGGCCCTTCACAGGGCTGTCATAGCTCCCAAACTTGGGCAGCTCTAGGTTCTTGGTTTTTAACAAGCTCCAACTATAGATACCACAGTTCTCCACCTCCATAACTCCTCACATCTAACTGTGCTTTCAGCTTTAATGTACTGTTACCTTTTCTGGTGTGCAGGAAACCTCCAGGTTCTCATGCCATGTCCCTTCTCTCAAGTGTGGGCTGTAACTCACTTTTAACAAACTGACTATGGTAAAGCGAGGGAATGTCATTTGAGATTAATTTACAAAAGGCTCTGGCTTCCATCTTGCTCTCTTGCTTGCTCTCTGATGGAAGGCACCTGCCATGTTGTGAGCTGACCTAAGGAGAGGCCCGAGTGCCAAGGAACTGAGGGAGGACTTTGATCAATAGCCAGTGAGGAACTGAGGCCCTCAATCCAACAAACCACAAGGAATTGAATGCTGCTCAAAACCACCTGAGTGATTCTGGAAAGACTGCCAAGCCTTGAGATGATTGCGACCCTGGCCAACACCTTGATCACAGTGTGAGAAGCTGAGCCAGAGGACCCAGGTGAGCCATACCCAGAATACTGATAGAAATTGTGAGATAATAAATGTTTGTTTGAAGTTGCTATGTTTTAAGGTAATTATTTACAAAGCAATAGAGAACCAATACTCCTGGGACAAATGAGGCACTACTACATCACAGCTTGAAAACTGTCTAGCAGTTACCTTGGGCAAATTACTTAACCTGAGAGGGCTTCAGTTCCTTACCTTCAAATGGGGAGAGCCTCCCCTACCTCATGACCTATGATGTCTATCTGAAGGCATCTGCTCACAGACAAAAACAGCTAGATATGAACTCAACATAGAAAATTTTATCTAACCTATAGACACAGACATTGGTATGGGGAAGGCCTGGGGGTAGGTGGATGCAGGGTGGAGGGGATCAATGGGGGGGAAAATGGGACATTTGTAATACTTTCAACAATAAAGATAAACCGGGGGAAAAAAGGAAAGAAAATTGTATCAAAAAGGAACTTCAATTGAACTTTTTATAATTTATATTTCCTTATGCCAAAAACATTTTTAATTAGTAAAAAGAAAGGATACATTCAAAATCAGGTAAAAACCACATTTTCCTTTTAATTGACCACTTAATTAATATTTTCTTCTTGGCTGCTACTTTGGTAACAAGTAGGTCCCCACTCTCAAGAATACTACATCTGAACAGGCTGCAGAGCCAATGTGAACACAGTCCCAAACCAGGGCTTCTGGAATACCAAGAACAGCAAAACTCAGCCTTTTCTTCATTTAGAAAGGGACTGTGAACTGGAGGGTCCAAAGCTCCACTTTCTAAAAAGAAAACTGAGAGCTCAATGTAAAAATGGAAACCGAAATGTATCAGAAATGAAGCATAATACCTCCTTATACACTCAAGGTCAAGATGGTTTTTGAGAAATAAGTATCTGATTACCTGGCCTCTTGTATTAGGAATGGCCCCATCCCAGCATTTTAAAAGGAAGATGTTTTTGTTTCTATGTCATTCCCCAAACAGGTATAAAATCTACTAAAAGGGAGATAATGAATCAGAATAAATCAGCTCACCCACAAGAGACGCTACTAGGTAATGATTTTTGGTTGCTGAGAGTATTCAGCACATTATTTCAAAGTGGCAAACTTTGGGGTAATCTGAGGAGAATTCAAAAGTGCCAGCTACGGTAACTGATAGGATTATGTGAGGCACCCACATACAACCCCATTTTTTTCAGTGTATATATCAAGGGGCCAAGACCCCCGATGATCAAAATAAGTTATTTTGTACATTACAGTGCACAGAACAGAGGAAAGACACTTTCTTGGAGAGTGACCGAAAGGCATTTTGCAAAAGGTTCATGTCACTCTGAGGTGGAAGATCCGGAGCCCGGTGCTGCGGCACGGTCTTCATTAGCTTGACCCCTCCTCTTCTTTGGTTGCGGCGGCCTCAGCGGAGGCTGTCTTTTCTAGACGTTCTGCTGGCTTCTTCTCTTCCTCCTCTTCCTCGTCGTCCTGGGGATAGAGGTCCGGGTACTTCTGCATGCACTCCTGCATGGCCCGGAACTGGTCTATACAGTCTGACCCCTTGACATCCTCAGTGCTGTAGTGGAAGCAGGAAAAGGCCGACTTGAATTGCTCCCCGCAGGGGCCGCTGGCCATTCCCCCAAGGCACGGGCAGTTCCAGTTAATGTCTCCATTTGGCAGGATCAATCCTGGAACAGGAAGGTGGGCAAGGAAAACGTGAGAGATGCTCTCTAAGGTTTTAGAAAAAGCAAAACCAAGTCCTGTCCTCCCAGCCACTTAAGAGGTGAACAGTATGAACTATTGCCTGGCAGGCACTTGCCTGTGAACCTACTTCTTAGATCGGGTTCAAATGCCTGGAGCAAGCCCAGCACTCCTGGCTCAGCTGGAGAGAAGCCACCATCGGCAACTTTCTCCACGTGCAACACTGATCTCTATTCTAAGCCACATCCCAGTGCTGTGGCTGTGCTCTAAGAACTATCTACCAGAATCCACTTAGTCCAAAGTAGGAGCCTTCACTTGGATGGTTAACGAGAACCTTTTTAAGGCCCAAACCCTTTAAGAAGCTGAGATATTGATCTCCTCCTTCCAATCTCAGCTCCCCGCCATGGGCGCTGCTCCTCAAGCCCTTCTCCCTCTGTGGCTGCTCTAAGAAGTCCCACACATCGTGGGGACTGGTAAAAGTGAGGAGGTTGATCCTTCTGTGCTGGCTGGAAAGATGTCCAAGACATGTTTTATAAGGAAAATGTAAAAATGAAAAACTTAGAGGGAGACTAACCATATTAACCAAATTGTTACATTGTACATGTGTTGGGGAGAGGCTGGGGTTTCAGAGGGATTTTCATTTCAATATTATATAAGCACCTAACTTTTGAATTTTACATTTTTTCTTGCCTTTGAACGTTGCCCACATTTAAGTAGTATTTTCCAGTTTTCTAAAGTGCTTTTTTTGAGAAATTATTATTTTTTATTTTTGTTTAAAATATTACAGATGTCCCCTTTTCTCCCCAATGACCCATTCCACCCCGTTCCATCCCTAAAGTGCTTTTAAGACGATGGCTCATCTTCAGCGCTGTGACAAACATGGACGGAAATGTGGTTCATATAGAATTCTCTTATATATGTTGACTACGGAGACTGACAGCACTCTTTAAGAAAGATTCTTAAGTGCCCAGTGAAATCACACATGATTTTTTCACTCCAGGGAAATACCTAGGGTCTGGTGCTCTGAGCTAGTGTCCAAAGTCTTAGGCCTAGGCTGAACCCTGTCTCTTAATTCTACCTTAGGAAGCTTCAGTGATCAACAAATCTGCTATTGCAGTTCCTCACTAGTAAAACAGGGTAACAGTGGGGACGGCAATGGGAACTGGCTGGTAGTTCACCACTGGCACCGACGACAGCTGCAGTGCATGTTCTTGTGCATGAAGTTATATGTGGTAAATCACGTAATCCTTTTGGCAACTTGCTGCAGGGGGTGTTACTAATTCTAGTTTACACATGAGGTTTCTGGGGCTCAGTGGGGTCCAAGTCAGGACTAGAGCCAGGGCTTGAGGATTCCCAGAGCCCATGCTCTTTGCTCCACATCTCACCACCTCTCCCAACTCTGTAGGCCTTGTCAGTGCTGGAAGCATATACAAATGCTGCCCCCTGGATGCTCAACATTGCTAACACACCTGCTCAAACAGTTTCCAAAAGAAATAACAGATTATAATACTAATTTTAAAAGTAACAGTTCAGGCTCTGGCTGGGTAGTTCAGCTGGTTAGAGTGTCGTCCTGATTTGCCATGGTTGCAGGTTCGATCCCTGGTCAGGGCACATATAAGAAGCAACCAATGAATGCACAGATAAGTGGAACAACAAATTGATGTTTCTTTCTTGCTCTCTCTAAAGTCAATTAAAAAAAAGACAGTCATTACTATTCTTAAAAAAAAAAAAGTCATAGTTCAGGTCTGCAGGAATCCTTGCATCTTTACCAGAGGAAGGTGAGCTAGAACGTGGTAGTTCCTCACAGAGAACACTGTGAAGCCAGTTTGTACTTCAGGGACACAGTGTAAAACCACACCAACTAGCTTCGGTATGTTAAATTAAACTCAGATGCAGTGTGATTTAAAACTAGTAATTTTGCAATTGAGAGCTCAGAACCCGGGTCCCAGAGTTCTCTGTTGCTTCTTTACACAATTATTCACAAGAAGGGGTTGCAAAGGCAAATACCTATAGGGTCCAAGCAGGTATACTATAAATGACAAGCAGGTAGAAGGAAAAACAAGAGGAATGATAAAGACTGGCAGGAACTGGAGGGAAATGCACAGTCTCAAGGCAGACATATTTAGTTTTTATAAAAATACTATGAGGCAAACAAAACAAGACCTGATTTATCCTGCAGGCCCCACAGTCTCAATCAATTAAAGAAATGTGTTTAACTAATGTGGACCTAAACACATTAGTGTTTAGGACTAGAATTTACATGTGACTTATTTTTCTTTGTAAGAGTGTGATTCATGATTACACCTGTAGCCTGGCCAGTGTGGCACAGTGGTTGAGCATCAACCTATGATCCAGGAGATACCGGTTTGATTCCCGGTCAGGGCACATGTCCGGGTTGTGGGCTCGATCCCCGGTAGGCGGCGTGCAGGAGGCAGCCGATTGATGACTCTCTCATCATTGATGTTTCTATCTCTCTCTCTCCTTTTCCTTTCCTCTCTCTGAAATCAATAAAGATATATTTAAAAAAATAATTACACCTGTAGCCATCATTCTCAGAAATCTAACACCTTGTATAATGTCTGCATTCTCACTGTTCCCAAAAGGGTGCTAGATAATGCCTAATGAGCTTTCCTCTAATCCCTAGGAGCAGTAGGGTAGTAAATAAAGTGTCCTAACTAAGAATATACACTTTAGTTAGCATTTGAAAAATTCCAACCAGGAGCCCATACTCTACAGGTGGCTCCTACAAGTTTTTTCAATCATATTTATTACCAATCAGCACTAGAATGCTTGTTAATTATCATCATGGATGCCAGAAAAGGCTTTTTTATGAATATTGCACACACACAACTGCCTTACACAGGCTGGATAAATCCTAGTGAGTCCAACAGTCCAAAGTCTTTGCAGTGACGCCCTAGGCCCAAGTGACCATTAACCGAGTTGTGTGGAACTGGTTGGCTGAATCCTGCTGCTAGAAAACTGACCCTCTATCTCAAGTGAGCTTTTCCTACAAGGTGCTTGCTGGAGAACCTATAAGGAGAAAGCATCTCATAGGACAGGTATATGGCACTTGGGTGCCTGCTTGCTAATAGTCTGCAGAAGTGGCAGAATTCAGTCTGATAACTTGATTGAACAGGGGCATTTCTGTCACTTTAACTTATCTGGAACTGCTAAGATCCACTTAGACCCTCCCCCCAAACTTAATCACTGGGAAGCATCCAACCAGCAGTTTAAGCCAATGCAAAAACTCAGAGAGAAAAAAAAGAGGCCGAAGACTTCAGTAAGGAGAAACTCTTGGCCAGGGAAGTGCATCAGAACGAGGGCTCAAAACAGTCCCTTACACCTCTTAGGGAGACAAACTGTCCTGAAAGATGGTCCATGGCTGATGCACACCTAAAAACCCAGCCCTGGCTAGGACAAAATGGGAGAAAAATTTTGAACATTGGAATTTTCCCTCAGTATGTGTCTGTGGGTCCCTGGGAGGCCCCACATCACTCACCGTGCTCCTCATATGGGTCATTGGGATCATCAGCCACCAGCTCAGCATTGCTTGGAGTTTCATGGTCTTCTTTGGTCACAAATATGATTCTATCCTTCCCTAGTGTTTGGAGGACAGAGGAAGAAACCTTTCACTCAGGAGCAGTGAATCAGCCCTAAACCCAAAACAGTCAAACAAACCAAGTTTGAAGACTGTCTCAAGTGAAATCCCAAAGCAAGGTGACCATCGAACTGCCCTCCCTGGGCTGAGTCGCTGACTCTGCATGATGTACAGTTTAGCAGCCACTTTTACTGAGTACCTGTGGTTGGGACGAGAACTCCAAAGTCTTGGGTGAGGAGAATAGCAAACCCTGCCCACCATATGTATCCCCCACGTGAGAGATGAGATGCCCCAATCCTGCCAAAGGCAGCTGCTTTTAGTCCCCAAATTTGCTGGCACTCCAATGGTGCAATGTCTTTCTTCCTCCCATCAGGAAAGGAGCAGTCCTCCCATGGTGCTCTGACTGTCCGTGTCACTTCCCATCAACCTGTGAGCACCTCACCTACTTGTCATGTCTCCCCTGCTCCCCAGGCTGAGCAGTCAGCGTTCAGGTAATACGTGTGGAATGATGACGACTTACTCGGCCAGGGATGCTTGGAATGCCTGCTGCTGAGCACCCCAACCTGACTACACAAGCTGCTCTCACTGTGCTGGGGGCAGGGGGGTGGATGGGTGGAGTATGAGGGACACAAAAAAGCCAAAGGAAAAGAAGAGGGTTCAAGAAGATGATGCAGAAAGAGCCTGAACTCACCTTCCCTCATGGATACATTGTCTACAGGTACATATGGAACAATTTTCTTTTTGAAAAACCTAGGCTGGCTGAGTTGCGCATTAGGAAAAAGAGAAGAAAAACACATCTAAGCGAGCAGGAGAGGCTGAGTGGCTGGGACACAATCCCGCTATAAACCCCACCCCCGCTGCAGTGACCCACAACCAGGAGTGAATTCAAAACCTGGAGCTTCTCCATGAGGAGCAAAGGGATGGAACCCTACAATGAGCATCCCAGCTTTTAAGACACACAATTGAGAGATGAGCCCCTGAACATCTAACTTTGAAAACCAACAGGACTTGCATTCAAGACCCATAAGACTAAGCAATCTGAGAAACTGCTCTTAGAGGTTCTGCCACAGGGCCCAGCTAAGAGGCAGCTGATCACACCCAGACTTAAAGTGAAGGAGGGTCACCTGCTTATATTAAAGTGCTGGGCTGAGGCATCTAACTTGACACACACCGAGCAGCGGGCTGGAACAGTCTGGGGACAGAGACCGGCAGGTACCATCTTTGTGCTCTCCCTTTGCTGTATTCCAGAGCACCAACATCTCCCAGAAGGGAGTTCTGACATGTGTCTGGTGCCCCAATTTTTGTGGCTGCCACCTAGGGGGAGCCTCTTGATTACCTAGCTCCCTGTAGGTGGCAGTGGCAGCTGTGTTCCTGGTCCCACGGAACTGCTATAACCGGTGTCACCCAGAAAAAACTCATAATCCTGTCTGGCACCCTGATTTTTGCAGTTGCTATCAGGAGACACATCTATATCGCCTGGCTCTGGTGGCTAGTGGTGCTTATGCTTGTGGGTCCCACACGACTGTAACCAATGGAGAAAGAGTTCTTAAATAGGTACCAACCCCAGAGCACAGCAAGAGGCAACAGACCTAGGAGCTCTGTCTGTGAAGGAGGCCTAGTAGCTAATCATCATGACAGGCCTGAGGGGCAGGCTTCTAATTAGACACATATCTAGAGGCTGACTGTTGTCCTTTTCAGAGACCTCAGAGGGTGGCATGATCTTCGAGCTCACCCTCTGCCATGCTCCAGAGAAGCAGTGTCTTTTGGAGGGGATTTTACATGTCTGGTATTCTGGTTTTTGTGGCTGCGGCCCACAGTAAACCCTTTGATTGCTGGCTCTGATGGCCTAGGGGGCTTGTATTCCAGGGTCCCATAGGACTGTGGCAATCAAAGAGATGGTTCTTGGCAGGCTACCATCTCCAGGGCACTGCAGAGACAGTGGACTAAGCCTCCCCTCCCCCAGTCTTTCTCTTAAGGAGGCCCCTTTGCTCGTTCTGGATTTTGGCAGAAGACTCAGGTCTGGAACACATCTAGTGGCTTATGGAGCTGCTCTCAAGAAATGTAGGCTGTGGATGACAACTTGGCGATACTCCAGCTTGTTGGTATCACCCAGAAAAGAGCTTATTTATACTCTTGTCTGGAGTCCTGATTTTTGCAACCGCCACCCAAGCGACACCTCCAGATTGCCTGGCTTTGGTGGCCACTGGGGCATATGCTTGTGGTCCTACAAGACTGCATGTATTTGCATACTTTTAAAAGTTGATGCCTGTCTTCTTGGACATTTACACAATGGAATACTATGCAGCTGTAAAAATGAAGGATCCCTTACCTTTTGGGACAGCATGGTGGGACCTGGAGAGTATTATGCTAAGTGAAATAAGCCAGTTAGAGAAAGACAAGTGTCACATGATCTTACTCATATGTGGAATCTAATGAATAAAATGGAGAATGCTGAACCCAAAGTGCACACTGAGGGGCAGTCAACTAGAAGAAATTTAATCCCTACCCCAGGACCCTGGTAAGGGTGGGAATCCAAGGTCCCCAGGGGTCTCTCTGAAAGCAGGACTTCAGAATGGCGCTGAGAACAGGACTGATTGAGCAGCTGGATACCAAGAAACCCCCAATTCTGTAGTTATACTCTCTGTGCAGCCATCCATCATCAAATACGTCTAGAAAGATCTGCATCCCTCACATGACCCATCTTCCACTATTCGCTACCACCATTCCAGCAACTTCTTACATTTACTTGAATATGCTAAGCACACACCTCCCTCTGGGTCTTTGCATAGGCTGTTCTCTCCTCCAGTAGCAATCTCCCTCAGATGTCTTCATACCTAACCTGTTCAGATATCACCTTCCTTGACCACTCTGCTTTATTTTTCTCCAAAGTACTTCTCCTCACCTAACATTAAATATTTATTTACCACCTCACTGAAATGTCAGCTCCTTAAGGACAAGAGTTTGTCTTTTCCATTCACTGCAGTATCCCCAGAGCCTGGAGCAGTGCCCAGAACATAGTGGGTAATCAATATTTGTTGAGAAAGTAAATGGGAGAGACTGAACTCTGGATTAGGACATGCAGTAGAGGAGCAGGAAGACAGAAATGGTTGTTATCACCTTTAAGCACATTAGACAACACTATTGGATGGCTGGTCTCATCTGTCCCCAGAAAGGGGAACATGAACATGCATGGGTTCGTTACACATCAGAACCTCTGAGCATATCCAACCCAGGAGTGTCCACCATGCCATGAGGGCAGATTTTGTCACCTGTGCTCACTAACATGTGCAGTGGATGGCAGGTCAGAGGTGCTCAATAAATGTTTGCTGACTGAACAGGAGAGGGCAGGCTCAGCACTAGAAAAGGAGGAAACTAAAGCCTTTAACCTGAGGCTAGGTGGTGGGTGGGCCCCTGAAGTAAATTTGCACAGGCAAGTGATTCAATAAGAGTGCAGGTATGTGTATGAGTTTATTCGATAAAGATTTAAGCACCCATTTGTATACCAGGCCGTGTGCTAGATCCTGGGAATACGGCCCATCCAATTCTCTTAGCTTACTGAGAGAAGAAAGACAGGAAATAAGATGATAAAAATAAGCAAGGTAATTTCAGAAAATTTAGGATGTGAAAGACCCTGAGGGTCAGGGTGACATCTGAGCTGAATCTTGATGTACCCGGCAAAGGGAAGAGTCAAAAGGCCAGTGTGGCTCAGCAGTGGCAGAGTGGTTAGAGATCAGGCTGGAGCTAGATCAAGAAGGGGTTGGGTCATATAAGCCCCTACATAGCAAGGAGTTTGTGATCATTTTTCTAAGTCCCATGAGAAGCATAAAAAAATTGGTGGTTAAAAACAAAAAGTTGGGGATTCAGGGGACAGTGGGTAAGGATAAGATGAAAATTAGAGGTGGCCTAGAATAGAGTGCTTTCCATTCTCCTTCCTAAACTAAGAAAGAGATATTTGAACTAGGAAAAGATAAGGATTCATGCTTTGGTGGAATGCGGAACCTGCCTCTCCTTCCCAGAGAACCTGTGACTCCTAGAAATCTTCAAGGGCAAGGAGGGTTTTACTTATTTGTACAGCCTCATTATACCCCAAAGGCTCAAAATTACTTGCTAAATGATGAAGTAAATTAGAGATTCAGAGAAAGAAAATTAAAAACAAGAGATCTACTGTTCAACAGAGTGGTAAGGCGGAGGATTTTTGTCCACGGCACAATTAAGTATTAATCAACATAAACAGTACTCATTACAACATCAGTGAGTATTATAGCTTTATGACCCAGGAAAGGAGGAGGAATTCTAGAAGCAAGGTGGGGTGAGGAAAAAGGCTTAGCATTTTAGACTACGCTGTTCCCCTAACTTGATGTATGACCTTGGGTAGGTCATCTTCTCTGGGCTTCAGAGTCCCTGAATTAAACTGAGGGAGCTGGACTATTCACCAAAGAATTTCTGGGTGAGTTCCAACTGTCTCTGTAGCTTCTCAGGTGTCCACCATTCCCATCACCTGGGACAGAGAAGGCTCGTCATGAATATTTGCTGAATGAGTGAAGACCAACTTCTTTTAACTTCTCATTTTACAAGTCTGGAAACTGAGGCCTGGAGGCGTCTGAACTCTCCGCGCCCAACTTTGTGTGTATGTGTGTGGGTCAGGGATGGGGAGTGGGGGGTGTCTTCCCAGAAGAGGGCTCCCTGGAATCCACCGGGCACCAGGTTGGATAGTGCAGTTCTGGAAGCAGACTGCTCGGGCTCAAACCCCAGCTCCACGACTCACCTATCACGTGGCTTTGGCCAAGTCACTCTGGGTCTTAACAGAGCCTGACTTACAAAGGTCGCTCCGAGATCAATGATAAGCCCTGTAAAGCTCCTTGGAGAGTGCCTGATATGTAGCTGGGACTCCACAAACGTTCTCGCTGTTGGCACTTCTACCTCTCTAGCACAACACCTACCCCGAGTGGCAGCTTTTCAGGACAGTTACAAGGCGCGTGCAAATGGTAACACGTGGTGTGTGGTAAGAGCGAGAGTAATTAGGGACAATAAATTCCCAATAGCGAGCCCGAGGAAACGTGCTCAGCACTTCCCCTACCGGCTCGGGTCTAGTTGTTAAACTCTCCCACGAGCTGGTCCCTCTGAGGTCCGGGTTCGAGCCTCACCGTGACCTTGGAACAGCCCCGTTCCTCCCAGTTTCGGTTTTCTCTTCGGCAAAACGGAGGTGGTAACCCCGCCTCCCAGCCGTCTCCAAAGGTCCGGAGGAGGGTACCCCGGGCTGCCTCGGGTTGCCACCACCGGTAACGGGATCGCTGGGTGCCGACGCCTGCGGCGGCAGCACAGACCCCGGACAGGCCCTCGTAGGCCGGTCTCCACCGCAGCTCGCCCTCCCTACCTTCCTGCCGGCAGTAGGCCATGGCTGCAGCCCGGCGCTCAGACTTCGCAGTGGTACCGGCGGCTGCGGCGTCAGCGGCTCCACGCCGTGACCTCTCCTCTGGCAGGGCGGGAGGCTGCGAGGCCCGCGCGAACCCGCCCCCTCCAGGCCTGCCCGCCGCGCGCCTGCCTCCGCGCCTTCCCGGCCTCAGCCCAGGGACCCCGCCCCCCTTCAGCAGGGAACTACATTTCCCAGCAGGCTGCGCGCCGCCGGGCAACTCTCCGGGCAGTAGGAACTACACTTCCCAGAAAGTCTTTGCGATGCGCAGGCGCATAATGACATACAGCGCATTTTGCAACTTCGTGGAGAAAGCATCTGACCCCGCACTACATTTTCCAAAAGACCTTGCGGCGCGCATGAGCAAAAAGCCGGAGACCGTGGGGCGGTAATATTGTAGCACTTCCCCTCCGGTTCTGGGCTTGGCGGGTTTTCGCAACTTGTCTTAGGCAGATAAGAGGCACTGCACTGCGCACTCCGGCTGCAGACCGCTTTCCTGCCTGAGCTGAGCGAGACGGGGTGGCGAGCCGGGTCCCACCATGGCTGCGAATGTGAGTGTCTCCTGGTCCGCCGGGCCACACCCATACTTCCCAAAGTCACGGGGCCTCCTTTCGCCCGCGGGTCCATTTTGCTTGTCCGCCTGACCCTTGTCTGTGCGGCCGGCCCGCAGCCCCCTCTGCCTGCCGAGTCTGTGCCTTCCGCCGCGAAGCCGTGTGTTCATTTCTCGGAGCCTCTGCAGACTCCAGACCCCTTTGTCCGTCTTCTTCGGTCCACCTCATCCTAGGGTGGCGCATTTGTGGGGAGGGACACTCAGGAGGTGTTGCTCCGGACTCTGGGATGATCTTGTGCGCGGCACCTCCCCCTTCATCGCAGTTACCGCCTAGGCCCTTGTTGTCAAATTTGCGGAGCTGGACGAAACCTCCGAGAGGGGCCAGTGCTCGGGAAGGGTGGGGGAGCCGGTACGCCCGGGCGGAGCTGTCCAGCAAGGGGCAGACGGGCTGTCGGCGCGGGCAGTGAGCTCCCCGCCCTAGCGGAGTGTGCGAGCCGAGGCTGCGATGCTGCAAAGGGCGCGGGCCTTGTTGGGAACGGAGGAGTGAGGGTGACAGTAAGGGGCATTTCCCTACTCCTGGGCCCCTCGTCCTCCCAGCGTGGAATTGGTTGGAGAGGTCCTGACCGAAGCTGATTCCTTTCGAAAGGATGCTGGCCTTTTCTCACTGCGGCCCGCCCTTCTCAGGAACCTTTCTACTTAAGCCCAGCATTCATTCAACAGACCGAGCGGCCCGTTCCACCAGGGTGCTGTATATGGGAGAAGCTAGTGACTCACCACTCCCTTCCTCTGCGAAAGTGTTTCTGGAGCCAGCTGGGGAACCCTGCCAGCCCCAGGCACTCCCTTCCCCCGTCCCTCCTGCTTTGGTGGAGTGTCTTACCCACTCTCTCCTGGCCTGTTACACACTCTTTCCAAATCCCTTCCCTGTCTCTAAGGGTCCTTTCTACCTCCCACACCCTCTGAGAGGCAGGGTTTGTGTCACCCACAGCCCTAGCACTCTCTGCCCCAGGTTAGAGTTGTCTCTGAGTCCTAGAAGCCTTGAATGCTGCACCTAGAAGAGCCTCAGAGGTGGTCCATGAGACCCAGGCCTTCCAGGAGAGGGCAGTCAGGAGACTGGCTTGCCCCCAAAGGCGGACTCCTGTCTGCCCCCAGACCACCACCACCACCACTGTATTTTACAGATGGGGAATTTCCCCAGCAGACGAAGGCACTTGCCCAGGTCTCAGAGCCAGCTTGGCAGGTTATGTCAGGGGAAGGTGCTGAAAATGGCAGGCTTTGGAGTCAGGCAGACCTGAGGGCAAATCCACTTTCCTTTTCTCTGTAGTTGTGTGGCCCTAATCTCTAGTGGGATGGGTTACTGGGAAGTTTAAGGGAGGTTGTGCTTTCAACAGTTTCTGGTTTAAGAGAAATTGTGCTTTCAACAGTAGGTACTTAATACATGAAAAAATTCTTCAGTCTAGCATGGATGGTCCATCCTGGTGGGCAGAGACCATCTTAGGTATGTTGGGACTTGACCTTTGCGAAGGAATGTAGATGAATTTGGGTATCCTCTATTGCCAAGTCTGTTGATTCATCTAGTAGCCTCATGTGTGTTTAAAGGAGGAGCCACCAAGCCCTTGGGGGTGGAGCAGGGAGGTGACAAGATTTCTTAATCAATGTAACCACTGTCCTGTAACCATAGGTTCTGTTTACTATTTTATAAGTGAGTAAACAGGAGCAGAGAGGTAGAGTAACTTATCCAGGGTTTCACAGCAAGTAATTTTAAGGGCCTATGTGTTGACCTCTGTTTCCACCTCTCGTTATTTTTGAGCCCAGAGTGCTGGGACTGGGAAGGTATGTGTCACTGAGGATACATATAGGTATTCAATACATATTATGTAGCCAACATCAAGATGGCTTTGAAGGAAAGGAAGAAAGGCTCAGGAAGGTGTTCCTCAGGCTAGGGGAGTTGTAAGTGTGGGTGATGAGGAATGAACTGAGGAAGTCTCCCTCCTGTTTATAGGGAATTTGGTTCAGAATGTGGTGTGGACTGGGGCTGTCATGTCACTACCCACCCTAGCAACAAATAGTTGTTAATTCTGGGAGGTGGAGAGAGGGGAGTAATGTCCAGAAAGGGGCACAAAGAAACTTTCTGGGGTGATAGACATGTTCTGTATCTTGTTTAGGATGTTGGCCAAATGGGGTATGCATTTGTCAAAACCCATCAAACTGTACACTTAATATCTGTGTATTTTTACCATATATAATTAAAATGAAAACTGAGTATAAATAATGAAATTTAATTTATTTTAAAAACCTAATTTTTATTCTTTTTTTCCCTTCAGTATTCTAATACGAGTAATAGAAGAGAACATGTGAAAATTACGACTGAGTCCCAGCCGGGCTTCCTGGAGCGGCTGAGCGAGACCTCGGGTGGGATGTTTGTGGGGCTCATGACCTTCCTGCTCTCCTTCTACTTAATTTTTACCAATGAGGTAAAATATTCAGGGTCCCACTGTGCAGAGTGAGGGTCCCTGTAGCGTCAGGGAGCAAAGGCTGTGAGTCCAGAGGCTGGATTTAGTAATAAGGGCCTAGATTTTACAATAGTGAGATGTTGAATTCATCAGAATTCTTTGTGTTGTGAACCCCCCCGAACCCCCATCCCAACTGAAATAAGTGGGAAGGGAGTAGATAGGTTAACACACCTGAAATCCTGGGAGTAGCACCAGCTTTAGGCATGGTTGGATCAGGCATTCATGCTGGGTCACCAGGAATCTGCATGTATCCATCTCTTGCCTGTGTTTCTCTGTTGTGGGTTTTCTTTGGCAGGCTCTTCCTTTGTGGTGGCAAAGGAATTCCAGGGTTACATCCAATCAGCTTAGCAACCCCAGAGAACAAAGGAACCATTTCCTTCTAAATGATTTTAGCAAAAGTTGCAGGGAGATCTGTGTGTCCTGGCTTGGGTCTGAGTCCTCTCTCTGAACCATTCCCTGTGGCCAGTGAACACGTGTTCTGATTGGCCAGGCCTGAGTCACATGATTTGGACTGAAGTACAGCTTGGCCCATGTAAATCCCATGGACTGAGAGTAGGGGAGGGGAGGAGAAGGGAGAGGAAAATAGGGAAGGGGTACAGGGCAGACAAAACAGCAGCTAGCTCCAGTATGGGTGCAGTGGAGTGGTGGGAAGAGGTCTGCCTGGGAAAGCAGGAATTCTGGGTTCTGCTCCCAACACTGCCACTTGTTAGACCTTAGTTTTCCAACTGCAAAATGGAAAGATCAGTCTCAGTGCTCTCTCAGGCCCATGCTGCCCTGAGACACTGTATTAGGCTATGCCTGAGTTGTTGAAATCCTCACTCCCCTTTGGTCACAGGGCCGCGCTTTGAAGACGGCAAGCTCCCTGGCTGAGGGGCTCTCACTCGTGGTGTCCCCCGACAGCATCCACAGTGTGGCTCCGGAGAACGAGGGGAGGCTGGTGCACATCATTGGGGCCCTGCGGACTTCCAAGGTACATTTGGCGATGGTTGCTGACTCGCTAGAGGCTTGGGGCATATCACTAGATATTGTTTGGTTGAAGATTTTGAAAACATGGACCTAGGAGATGGACATAGATGGGTGTGATTACTGACCCCACCATTCAGCAGCTGTGTGGACGCATCACTTCTTAGTCTCAACATCTTCATCTCTAAAATGGGGAGAAAAATTATAACAAATTGGGGGGCCCAGTTTTAAAGATTTGGTGGGTAGCTAATGTTCTGCACAGTGCCTGGCACACGGCATAAGTTTTACAAATAGGCCCTTTAGTGATTATGATTAGCATGTGCAAGGCTACAAAGGTACTCTGGTTATTGGATCTTTCCTGTTTGAACACCAAATACGGTGTTGCCAGCACCATGCAATTGGCCCATGCAGCCTGAGCCTGCACTGTGAGGCAAATGTCACAGACATTGGGTGTTTAGAACTTGGGACAGGCATCCTCACTCGGTTCTCCCACATGAAGCAGCCATAAAGTTCTCCGTTCTGTTCCTTTCTTCTGTCTGTTTCTTTTCCAGTCCAGCTTCCCCTGAGGCAGGCATTCTGGGCTGGTGTGAGTTTTGTTTTTTATTTATTTATGTTTGATTTGTTTGATTTTTTTTGAAGCTCTTGTCTGATCCAAACTATGGGGTCCATATTCCGGCTGTGAAGCTGCGGCGGCACGTGGAGATGTACCAGTGGGTAGAAACCGAGGAGTCCAGGTGAGGTACCAGAGAGTGAAAATCAGCTGGGGTTAGAGGAGGTGCAGATGTTAGGATAAAATGCAGGTGGCTTTCATTCTGACACTTCTGAAGTTTAAAGTATAAAATCTTCCTATCAGAGAAATGTCAAATTATCCCGAAGTTACTAGTGAATGATCTTTTGTTTGGAGGTGGCAGAAGTCTAGTGCAGAGTGGCCCAAAGAAAGGTGTATTGATTAGCTCCCTTATCTAGGGAGTTCCACAGATGCTCGAGCTTAAGGAATTACTATTTCCAGGCCACAAACCATTTTTTCCCATGTGTTAATTCCATCTTCTCTCCCATGAGGGAACAGAAGTGGCCTCCTGACTCACATCCTGTCAGTTTTTTAAAAAATTCTTATTTTTAATCCTTACCTGAGGATATGTTTTTATTGATTTTAGAGAGGGGGGGAGTGAGAGAGAAACATCGATTGGTTGACTCCCATGCTCACCCTGACCAGGGATTGAACCTGAAACCTAAGTATGTGCCCTGACTGGGAATCAAACCTGCAACCTTTCTATTTTTTATTTTATTATTATTTTTTAGTATGTCTATTGATTTCAGAGAGAAGAAGGGAGAGAGAGAGAGAGAAACATCAATGATGAGAGAGTCATTGATCGGCTGCTTCCTGCACGCCTCCAACTGGGGATTGAGCCTGCAACCCTGGCATGTGCCCTGACCGGGAATCCAGCTTCAATCTCCTGGATCATAGGTTGATGCTGAACTGCTGAGCCACCTGGCAGGGCAACATACTGTTACTTTTAACAGAAGTCTTAGGGGAGGGACTCATTGGCCAGGGTGGGAGTCACCTGGAGCTAGGGGTGTGGTCAGCCTCACCTGAGCCACATGGATATGAGTTGAGGGGTGGAGAGGTGGCTGGGGGAGCCAGGGCAGGTCAAGCTCAGCGTGGAGAAGGGCACCTGTAGAGGGTCTCCATGCGGCTGTCCTGGAGCAGAGGGTGTAACCAGATCTCTGAGCCTAGAGGGCAGAGCTGTGACCCTTGGTGTGAGCTAGGCAGAGGCACATTTCAGCTCCGGATGAGAAAGCAATTTTCTCCGGTCAGGCCCTTCAAGGGTCGGAGCGGGACATCTGTCAGGGAGTGAGCAGCCTGCCTCTGGGCTGGTGCAGATAAGGTCCTTTCCATTTGGGCAGTTTGACCAGGTAGCCCCACGTTGCTTCCAGCTGGAGATGCTTAGAGATGGGAATGCCTGAGGAGTGATGGGCTAACTCTGGGACTGCTGTGCTTTCCCCACAGGGAGTATACCGAGGATGGGCAGGTGAAAACAGAGAGGAAGTACTCCTACAGTGAGTATAGGCCCCCTGTTCTAAAGGGCCACACCCCAGGCCTGTGGGCAGATTCTGGGCATATCCCTGCAGTGGGGAAGGGCATGGAACCAGGTGTCGAGATTCCTGGATGTCAATCCTCAGAGCCCTGCTCTCCCATCTATCCAGCGAGACTCCAGGAGCTGCTCTTTCAGTGCTGGAATGGTTACAGGATTGGATAAGAGGACAAGGGGTCAGTGGGCCTTAGACATGTGACCACTCCTACCATGGTCGCTGAGTTGTTCCCTCTTCTCACAACAGACACTGAATGGAGGTCGGAAATCGTCAACAGCAGAAACTTCGACCGAGAGATTGGCCACAAAAACCCTAGGTGAGGGCTGTGTCCCCAGGCCCAAGTGCAGCGTTGGCTGCCACTGGCATGTCTCCAGCCTCAGCTTCCTCATCTGAGTAATGGTTGAGTTACTTTTATCTCATGAGTTGATTAAAGTGTTGGACATGTGGACCACACTGTGGTCTGTGATGACAGCCCCCTCCCTGGCACAAGTCTGGATGCTGGGTGGGGCAGCTCCTGTGCTGGGTACCAGGAACACAGAGGCAAGACCCAACTTCCATGACCTCATACAAACTACCCTCGAATAAGTCATGAATATGAGGCCTGGACTGAGTACTAAAGGGGTTTGCATGTATAGTACCAGGGAAGCATTTGTTAACAGTTAGCCATGGGGATGGGAAGACAATCAGGAAGGGCTTTCAGGAGACAGTGGCGTTTGATCTGGGCTTTTATAAGTGTTTGGCAAACAGAGGTTAGCTCAGGAACATGGGGGTGGAACAGGCCTAATGCTGGGGCACGCCTGGAGTGAGGGGAGGGCTGCCAGGAGAGCCTTGAATGTGCACAGTGGGCTTAGATACTACCTGGGGCTGGGAAGGGTCAGTGAGGGTGTGAAGTCCATGGAAGGTTCATCTGATGGGGTGGGAAGGAACAGGCTGGTAGGGGTCTAGGCAAGAGGGTATGAAGCTCTGGGAACAGGAGACAGAATGAGGATACGCCACCCGGGGAAGGAGGGCTTGAACATCCAGGGGCTGGAGTTGCTGGTAAAGACAAGATGTGTGCAGTGCCTGGGCTGGTCTGGACTTGCAGGAGCCCCCTAGGTAGGGCCCCTGCTGAGCATGACCCAGAGGAACACAGATAACTCCCACCTGGTGTCCTGCTTCACTGACAGCTCTCTCTCTTCCACAGTGCAATGGCCGTGGAGTCATTCACGGCAACAGCTCCCTTTGTCCAAATTGGCAGGTTTTTCCTCTCAGCAGGTAAGTCTCTGGCGCCTTCAGGTGAGCCAACCCAGAGGCTCTGTGCTTCCATTTAGCCACCTCCCAGGAACTGGTGCCTCCAGTGCTCAGCCCTTAGGTGGTTAAAAGGACTCCACTACCCTGGGCATGGGATCAACCAGCACCTTCCCAAGGATCATGTTTTGGGTTGGGGGTCGGGGGAGGCAAATCTTTAGGTGGTGGGGACTTGTGTAGAACACCCCCACCCTGGGCAGGTTCCTCTGACACCTAGATTGTTCCAGAGAATGACTTGCCAGGCACTGCTGTGGTGCTGGTGCTGGTTCTGACCAAAGCTGAGAGCCCTCCCTCAAGCAGCCCTTGAGCCAGTAGTAGAGACAAACCTTTCCCTGAGGGCTCCACCGCTGAGCCCCATATAGCGTTTAGCCCTGTGCTAGGTAGTGGGTGGTTCACACCCCCCCCCCCCC